CCCCCCCCATGTCTCAGAGCCTTAGAAGTGTTTCCTCTCTCCATGAGGTTTTCCACAGAAGGGAGACACCATGACCTTTGTGGTATGAATCAGTGCATTTTCAGCACTTATATTATACCTTGTTTCAGCTTTCTAGTTTACTGGATGGGTGATTTGGATGCCCCATCAACTTCTGCTTAATGTCTGTGAGACCAAACATTAAAACCATGCCTATCATATCAGCATGCCAAAAGTCAGTACCATATCTGTACAAAGTACCAGAAGTCAGCCACATCGATTTTGTCATTCCAGCAGTCATAGTCACATCTCACTCATAGTGATCCCTTACCACTAGCATCCATTAGTTCAGTTCAGATCAGAGTGGAATTTGATTTTTCACTCTTTGTTCCTTCTGGCTCAGCTGACTGCTTATAACCTTGTTCAAGAGGCAAGAATGAGAATTGTTTGTTTGTAAAAAGCATCTTATGACTTTGGCCTCACTGCAGAAATTGTTGGTGAAACTGTGAATCTTAACATCCACCCAGTTTGCAATGAGAACCAGTCTGAATTTAGGCAGATATAATCTGAGGGGAATACCTCTTATGTTCTTTTTCTCTATTCTCACTATTCTCCCAGCCTATGAAGATCGACAAGCAAGCAAGGGGGGAAGGGAGCATGCTTGCAAGTTGCAGATGTGGGAATATGTGTATGTTAAGCTATGGTCAGTTAAGAATCAACCAGAGGGTGAATTATATAATGACAGGCATATGCTGAAGGGGAGAGAATCAGTCACAGGTGGAAAAGCAAATCAGATCAGGTTTTGAACCTCTTACTTTCCAGTCCAGCAAAGCACTTAACTTCAGTCACATAAGCAGACTGTGAGACTTTCCACAAGCTTAAAGTTAAACACGTGCTAAAAGCTTTGCTGGATTGGGTCCCAGCAAGGCCTATGGCTAACTCTGGTAACAAAGGTAACAAAATCCATTGGATTACATTTAGACCTCTTTTTCTGGGTGTTCTTTTCCTCCAGATAATATATAATTAATTTTGCATAACATTCACTCAGACATAAACATATTATGAATAACTGATAAAAAAAACTGGGACATGTTTCCATTGGTACATACAAATTGCAAATATTTTTCTTACATTCAGAGAAATTGGCCAAAATAAAGAGACAACTTCTATATTTCCAAAAACTTATCAGTTACCAAAAGAGGCACATACTATAGCATGGAGAATAATTAGTCTTCATCTCCACAAATTACACTATCTGACCCACAGCCAACATAAGCTTTACATATTTTGATATATTTTCTTCTACTTAAATGAAACCACCTACTTTGCAAAGTAGTTTAGATTTTTTAATCCTCTAGAGATGCATATGAAGCAGAAATAACCCTTGCCCTTTATGAAATACTAGATCATAGAAAGAAAATGTAAGTTCAAGCCCATATGTACTGATTGCCTGGGGTAGCAAAGAGCTACAATATCAATACTGCCTGTCCTTTACTCATTTTTGTGGACAACTAGAGGATTTTATTCTCTCAGGAATTCAATTTCCCCAGCAACCAGGTCACTGAAAAGAAAAATACACCTCAAATAAATGAAAGCTTAACTCTTAAGAATGTATACATTTGTTGATGGTGCTCTGTGTTAGATTCTTACAGATTCTGTGTTCATTTCTTACAGAGCCAGTAGTGGGACCTCAGTTTTCTCCCATTTGGGCTGGCATAAACCAGGAATAATTTCCCTAAGTCAACAGAACTAACTCAGCCTACAACTGATTTAAGAGAAAGCTGTAGTTTGTTAATAGGTTTTTTTAATGCTTTTTAAATTTTTGTTGTTGTTCTTTTTAATAGCTACAGTTTCCCTGCTGTTGGGGAATATATTAAGACCATTTAATTGCTTCTTCACTCCTCAAGAATATCAAGAAAAATCCTGACTATTGTCAGTATTTTACTGCTGATAGTGTCTGCCACGTTCTCTATTTCACATTATAGATAACTTATGGGCAGCTGATATTCTAATTGGCACGTTAAATTGTACATTACAGGCCTAATTCATTCTTTCATTTGCTATCTTAAGTTGCAGTATTTCTATTTATGCAGGTTCAAGTGAGATCAAAAACAGGCTTTCTCAACTATTTATAGGAAGATAAACTAATTTACTCAGCTGGGTGACCTATGTGTGCGGGGGGGAAAGGGATTGTCTTTTCAGCTGATAGTATCCTATCAGTTAAGTATGTGGTAAGTAAAACTAGAGGAAGTTAAGATTAACATGGATGCTTGGTCTTTCTTTCTTTTAATAGTGCCTTGATCGAGAGCAGGGAATTCATTGGATTAAGAAAGAAAGACTTCCAGCATTTCTAGAAAGTGATTGTTACTTTGAATACAGGTATTGCAGTGTCTAATGCAAATTCAAATGTTAAAATTGTTTATTTTTTCTCCTGTGTCTAATTCATCTTGACACTTCACTTAAGGCATTTTCTAAAGCATTTTGTTTGTTTAACTCATTTCATTTTAATGACTTAGTTCGGTTAAAATGAATTGAATGGTATTTTTATTCTGTTTCTTTTTCACTCAGTAATTTTTCTTGTCCAGAAATTACATACCATATTAGCCTGCTAGAGAATACTACTGGTATTTATCTATGTGTAACTATCTATATTCCACAGAGGTTGCAAGTCTCTTGCTCTTGCACGCACACTAGTGTCTAGTTATTGCAAATGAATGATTTGAATTAGAGGAACTTGTCTAGAAAGGACAGACTATTCTGTCTTTCCATTCTGTTCCTAGCTCTTGATGAAGTAGCCTATCTCCTACAAAAGCTCACAGCTCTCTGAACCAGTTAATGTCTAAGGTGCCACCCTAACTTCCTCCTTACTGCGGAGTAAATTTACTATGAATTAGTATCTGTGGTAAAATAATATAAAATAATCATGTGGAGTGTCTTTATATTCAGTTTGCATTTTTAAATGTTTGTAGGAACTGCAACTATATGCAAGATACTGAAGATGATTTGTACATCGGAGGGGAAAATTTACAAAGGATAGCAAATCAAAGGAAAGCTGTACCTTCCTTACAGTAATGTGCATGTATAAGCTTCCTAGAAAGTTACTAGATTTGGTCTTTTGATGTGGCAAGCGATTTTTTTGTTCAAACAAAATATAATTACAGCAAAAGTTTTGTTATCTGGCACCCATGGAGAATGGGGGGTGCCGGATAACCAAATATGCCGGTTACCTGAGAGGCCTGAACAGGCGTCTTTTCCTATTTGGGCCTCTGCCCCTCCTGCTGTGTCCAGTGCACCACTGCCCCTCCTGCTACATCAATGTTCAGGGGGACAGAGAGAGGGGCCCCAGGCACATTGGGGACAGGGTGCTACGCCCCAGGCCATGGGGGCTGGGCAGCATAGGCTGCTTTGCCCTGGGCCATGGGGGCTCGGCAAAACCTCATGTGCCACAGTGGGCAGTTGCGGTTTTGCTTTTGCTGCGTCAACTGGCATGCCAGTTAATAGAGCTTGCCAGTTTGTAAGGTGCTGGATAAAGCGGCTTTTGCTGTACATGGAATTAAATGTTAAACACATGCTTAATTCCTATTGTAGTCAATGTTCAAAGCTGAGCTAAACAAAATGAACAGAGGTAGGAGAGGAGAGGAGAAATGAGTCGAACTTTACACAGTGCATCAGGTCTGAACTTTGCCATGATCAAAAACTGGGGAAGTTTAGATTTGGGGTTGGACTTGGAGACAGAGACAGACTCCGTGGCTCAAACCTAATGTATACTGAGCCTCACTTTTGGGAGAATTCTTCCATCTGTAGCTATAGTCCACATTAGAAATGTTTACTGGTAAAATGTATGCCAGCTTAGATCTGTTTCAGTAAGATGGCGGTCACAATTGGGTGTCTTAGCTGGCAAAGTGCATTCTCACAGCAGGTTGTATTGGCAAAAAGTATATAGCCCTATGAAGAGGCTTCCTAGAGCTTATTATACTGCCATCTACCAGGCTCCCTGTAGGATTTTTTTCCATTGCATTGTGAGCTACTAGCTCTCTTCTCAGTCTTGCAGGACTGGAGAGTCAAATTCCAAGAAAACCTGTGCTTCCCTCCTATAATTTAGTCTATTTTTATCCTGTTTTTCAAAAGTTTCATGGTTCTTTTCATCACATCCCATAAATTGATCTTCCTTACATAGTTTTCAGTCTCTCTGACATTTTGCTGTCAGAAGAATGAATGTTGGACATATCAGTAGAGTTCCCATGGCTGGTTTTAGATGCAGAGTAACTGATACTTCTGAGCTTGCAGAACTTCAAAATTATCTCAGTGGCTCTCAAACAGCTGCAGTGATAATTAAATCCAGAAGAAGATGATGCAGGCAATTAATGAAAGTCACAAGGTACCAAAAGCCCATTCTGACCAGGTGCATATGGTGAACCAGCACTTCTTGGCTTGTGAAGCAAACACTGCGTGGCAGAACTGGATAATGCTGCTAGCCTGGGACAAGCACCAGTGACTGCCAAATTTTTGATTATGGATGATCTTCCTGTTGCTGTGTCCCAAGCTCATCCCAGCCTATCAGAGACAAGTAAATGAGAGCTTCCAACCACTGTGTTATCAGTTCAGTGTTGAAAAGTCAGTGTTAATTATCCAGGTGTAGAGAGCTGTTAAGCATTTCTTCCTGCACAGAATTGTGACTCAGCAATGGTAAGAAATAATAAATGGGTTTGACTCAATGGGCTCTCCTAACTATGGTGGGGCAATAGACAGGATGCATCCCAGTTCTGATTCCTTTCCCCCTGCATCTGAATACATGAACAAGAAGGACTTATGAAAGCACTGGTGGATCACTGGAGCAATTTCACTAACATTAGCATTCATGAGCAGGGAAAGCTCATGATGCATCTTTAGGAATATACAACTTTATGAGAAATTTCACACTTTTTTTCCTTGACCAGCAGATTCACTTTGGTAGGGTTTCACAGACAACTGTGATTCTCCAAGATCCTGCCTTACTCATGGAGCCATACGCTGGGCAGCTGGACAAGAGCAAGGAACATTTTAACTATTGTCTGAATAGGTGCTGGATACGTGCATTTGGCAGATTAAAGGGTTGCTAGGATGTCTTATGACTAGGGTGGATCTCAGTGAGCCAAATATTCCTATTGTTGCTGTTGCTGCACATGGTGTCTTATGTAATATTTGCAAACCAAATGGGATAATCATTACCAGCAGGGTGGAGAAAGGAAATGAAAAGACCGTCTGCTGAATTTGAACAGCCTGACACAAGGGCAGGTCCTCTAATAGAGTCCATCCAGGCAGTGTGCAGTTGGAGGCCTTAAGAGAAAAATTGACTGTGTGTCCTAGCCAAACTGGGTGCATGCTGCCTTGCATTACTTCATAATTAAACTGTACATGGCCAAGTGATGACTTGTTATAAATTTCTATGAATCTGACGAAGGATTATTGAGTGAGGGACTATATCTTGGTACTGTAAGGCAAAGAAAATAATTTATGGTTTACACAGCATTATTATGAAGTATTAAATAACAGACTGTTCAAGCAGAAGGCCCACATGGTGGCTGGTCTAGATGGATTACATATCAGTGTGGGTGTTCCCCTTTATTTCCTGTGGAGTTGAGTGCATGGGGTAGTGTTGCAGGGCATAATGGCACGTTGGCCTCAGGAAAGACTTTGTAATCAGTGTAATGCTGCTGGGATATAGGCCTCTTTCAAGCTTTTTAGGAGCAACTTAATGCCTTGGCGCATTTCCTGATGCAGCTCTTAGGAAGTCTTTCTGATTTTCCTTAAGCATACCCACCTTTCACTCTCTGGTCTTCTTTGCTGTGGACTTGGAACTCTTGAGCAGATTTGTCTGACCTTGTCCATTCCTTTTTTCTTCCTTTTGAAGGTCAGGCTTTCAGCACAAGTGGAGGCAGAATCCCAGTTGATGTCACTGATTAAAAAAAATCAGACACATTGTTAATGGACTAGCAGACGTTAGAAAGTAATTACCAACACCCAGAAAGTTTTACCACATAGGGCCCTGCTTCAGAGCAGTATGACAGCTAAGCCTGTGAGCATATTGTGGTACTGTTCAAGCTAATGAGGTGTGGAGGTCTGGATATAAAGGGTCCTAGATAAATGTAGTGAACATTGTTAAATAATAAAAGGCATCTATCACTTTGGAAGGCACCAAAGACCCCACAAAGACAAGCTGAGGTTCCCAGAGCCTCTGTGCTGCCTGCTTCTTCAGAGTGATGGAACACCTTAGCTAATTGCTGTTGGCATTTGGGTGGTGGAGGCAGAAGATTCAGTGTACACAAGGGGTGATTATAGGCACAGGGACAAAAGTAAGTAGGGGAACTGAGAAATAGGGAATGGGACAGAATTGAGGCAGCCACTGATAAGTGGAAGAGAAAGAAGTTCAGAAGTGAAAACAAACGGTACATATTTCTTAGTAAATATGAATAATTTTGGGCATGTGTAAATATACTAATGAATTGATAATAAATACAACAAACAAAATAGTATTGTAAATTGGATCCAGGAAACTGATTCCCTGGCATTTGGTGCTGATCGCAGAGTGAGAATTAGTTGAAGCATCGATAAAGTTTACTCTCCTGCATGTCAGGGTCTTGCTGTGGGTGATTCCTCCGTGGAAGTGACGTTCAGTTAGAAGGAAATGAGAAATCTGATCTCTCTGTGGAACAAGGTTTGTTCAAAGGAAGCCATAATGCAGGAAGACCTAACAATTGAGTAGTGGCATGGGGAAGTATCTTACTGCAGTAGGAGAAAAAAGGCCGCTGTTTTGAGGAACATGCAGGGAAACCTCAAATAGTGCTTGCATGAAAATGTTACTGAAATTGTGTTAGAAAACAAGAGAGGAGCTCTATAAGTGAAGAAGAGTTGTGCTCACTGACCAGCTTTGTGAGCCCATTGAAAGAGTAAGCCGACAAGCCAGCAGCATTCAATTTCTACTTCTTTCATGAATCCAAGCCCTGCATTCTGCAAGCAATTTGTTTGGGACTTGGACTTTCCCACTGAAAAACAAAAATATTTGTGTTCATTTTTTTTCTACTGAAAAACCAAAATATTGTGTTTACAGCTGAAAAACCTGCATCCAATAAGTTTACTGAGTTGTTTCTACAGTCAAATAGTCCCCATTACTGTACTGATTTACTTGCAAACATTCTTTTGTCTCTTTGAGGTATTTAAATCGAATGCCCAGGTGTTAGTTTGTACTTGTTTGTGTTTTTGGAATGTATGAAATGTAGTGGCTTTGCTTTTACTTTACTAGATTTGTTTCTCTGCCTGCCCAAAATATGTATTTTTTTCTTTAAAGTATTCAGTTATTTTTTGTTTTGCATTGTCAATGTCTGTTCTTAAAATAAACAGCTTCTTTAAGAGAATGTCTGTTGTTCCATTGAGAGACAAGGACTAGATATGGGGGCGAAGTTTTAGGGGCTGTGAAGAAAGCTAAGAGAAAAGGAGGACATGAATGAGGGAGTAAATTGTACCTAACCAAGTTCCTTTTCTTCCTCATGGTTTACATCCTTGGGTTGAGTTGGGCTGGTTCTGGGAAAGCTCCTGGTTTTCTGTGGGCTATGCATCTTCTGTGACTCCTTTATAGACCCATCTGCTGTTGTTGGGTTTCCACATGCCTTCCTCTGGACACTGAAAGGTGTCCACGGTCACTTGCAGGCTGGAGGTGAGGTCTCTGCTCCCTGTTGCAATGACCTCTGCATAGCAACACCAGCTCTGAGCTTCATGTAAAAACAGCAGCTCTTGGGGCTTCCACTGTGTGGCTCAACCCTCTTTTGTCTTCTTGTATCATTTAATACATATTGCCTGGTCTTGTTGTTTTGTCTTGTAGTCCCCTAGCTTTTGCATTTCTTTCAATATTTTGATAAATATTTTTACTCCCATAGTAGTTCTGCAGATGAGCTTGTAGGGCTCCTTCTCCACATAAGCTGAGAAAAGCCAGAATTCAAGACCAGGCAGGAGAGGGAAGGGTTTTCCTTAACAGCTGTTAGCTACAGCTTTACGTGGAGCCATACTTGTAGCTAGAAAAACTGAGTTAGCAAGAAGAAACCTGTTTCCAAACTTGAAGTAGGGGAGGAATAAAGTATAAAGTAGAGCATGAAGTTACCCTTGAGAACTTATTTTTAGAGTTTACTGTCAATTGTAAAGCTAAATCAAATGAATTTTTGAATGAATACTTAAAATTAACTACTACTTTGTTTCCTAACATTTTAACTGTAGGTTAGCTAAACTGATATCGCAAGTAGAATGGAGCAGTACTGGTATTAACTTCATTATAGATACAGCATATTATCCCTGGATTGTGAAAAGAGAACCAACTCCTCCTCTCCCTGAGGAAGATGAAGATGAATTAATTATGAGAAAATTTTGTGTCTCACTTGGCCAGGTAAAATAAGCACAGCATCTAGGTAATGGGAACAGTGTTGTGCTAGACTGAGTGTACAGAAGTAAGGATTCACAAGTGTACTTCTGGTATGATTGAATAAATAGATCAGAAAAAGAATACAGATTACACAGGTAGCTTGCAGAGCCTCAAACACAGAAGATATTTTAGAACATTCTGCACTCTGCATACACATGTGATTATTTCTCTGCTATGAAAAAATCATAGAATTAAATGGGAAAAAGGGACTTCAAAGGTCATCTAATCCAACCCCCTGTACGAAGGCAGGATGTGCTGTTTAGATAAGTGGGACTGGGTTTCCCATTTAATCTTTGCCATTTTTATGACTCAGGAAAATTCAGATGAACTGTTTAGAACCACACTTGTAAAAATGTGTGGCTGTAATTTTCAAACATAGTTGCTGTTGTCATGTTCAACAGCTAATTGTACGTATAAATAGTTATTTAGTAGGTTATTTGCATATGTTTGCTCTGAAGAAATATTGTGCGGTCTATATTTGAAGATTTAGATGAACTGTTTGAAAGTCAGATGCGTAAATCACTTTGGAAAGAGGAGTAAAATGAATTATAAGGCCTCTCCCCCAATATACCGAGCCTATTAGTGAGCGTGCGTGCGCGCGCGCGCGCACACACACACACACACACACACAAAATCTCTACCTTAAGAAGTGCACAATCTAATTTTAAAGATGAGGTAGTAGAGAAAATTGAAAGTCTGTGGGAAAAGCGATAGAACAGCAGTAAAAACACCTGTTGATTTGTTGTGGTGTTCTTGCACATTACGTGTTTGCACTCTGCTACCTTGTGGCATGGCACTGCTACCATCCAGCTAGAGTAGTCTCCCAGTAAGTCACAGTAAGGAATAATTCAATAGTATCTTCCCCTTGAAGTACAGTTTACAAGTTTGATAAAACGTGGTTGATTTGGCCCTTTCAGGTTCAAGCCATTTCTGTCTAGGGCACTCCCAGTTTCCCTTCAAGCCCTGGCTCTAGGTTCTGTCTAAGTGCAGGAGAACTCTGTCATTTTCATACTTGCCCTTAATTCTGTAGGGAGTCATTTCTCCAAAGTCTCTTCCAAGCCCAGGTCATGTGCTTCAAGCTTCTTCAACTTGGAGACAAGGTATGCACCCTTTCCATGATGCCAGGCTTCACTACTGGCAGGTGTCTCAGCTTCCAGGTTCTTATCACTGTGTATTTTGGGCCTCTCTAGAGAGACTACACCAGATAGAATCATGGAAAATTAGGGTTGGAAGGGACCTCAGGAGGTCATCTAGTCCAACCCCGGCTCAAAGCAGAACCAGCGCCAACTAGATCATTCCAGCCAGGGCTTTGTCAAGCCAGGCCTTAAAAGTCTCCAAGGATGAAGACTTCACCACTTGTCTAGGTAACTTGTTCCAGTGCTTTACCATGCTCCTAGGGAGGGAGTTTTTTCCTAATATCCAACCTAAACCTCCCTTGCTGCAACTTGGGACCATTGCTCCATGTTCTATCATCTGTCAGCACTGAAACAGTCCTGCTCCATCCTCCTTGGAACTACCCTTCAAGTAGTTGAAGACTGCTATCATATCCCTTCTCAGTCTTCTCTTCTACAAACTAAGTAAAACCAGTTCCCTCATCCTTTCCTCAGAAGTCATGTGCCCCAGCCCCTAACCATTTTCATTGCTTGCTACTGGACTCTCTTCACCTTGTCCACATCCTTTCTATAGTGGGGGACCCAAAACTGGACACAGTACTCCAGATGTGGCCTCACCAGTGCAGAACAGAGTGAATAATTACTTCCCTCAGTCTGCAGGCAACGCTCCTACTAATGCAGCCCAGTATGCTGTTAGCCTTCTTGGCAACAGGGGCACACTGCTGACTCATCCATCTTATTGTCCACTGTAACCCCCAGGTCTTTTTCTGCAGAGCTGCTGCTTAGCCAGCCAGTCCCCAGGCTATAGTGGTGCATGGGATTCTTCTGTCCTAAGTGCAGGACTTTGTACTTGTCCTTGTTGAACCTCACGAGATTTCTTTTGGCCCAATCCTCTAATTCGTCTAGGTCACTCTGAACCAAGGTTCCCCTTAGCTGTGCGTGTGCACAGCTGCGCACGATAAAAAATCTTGATGCACACAAACTTTTTAATGCCATGCACCTGCCCGGAGAGGAGCTGGGCTGCAGCTTCCTGTAAACTTTGGGTGTGGAGTGTGGCAGAGGCACCAGAGCTGGCACGGGACACCTTACTGGCAGTAAGTTACCCCTCAGCTGTGCGGGGGCTGCTCTGCTCCTCAGTGCACGGGCATCCCCGTGGGGAGGGAGAGTGGTGTGGAGCAGGCAGCAGCTCCTCCCTGAGGCGAGGCGGGGCTGATTCAACCTGAGGTAAGCTGAAAGCAATTGCCTGCTTTGGCATTCATCCAGAGGTAGAGTTCATTTGCAAAGGGAGGGTGGTGAAATATATATATATCGGAATGGGATCTTTGACCCCCAAGCATTCAGGAGGCTTTGGCCTGCGCAGCTCAGCCAAGAACACACTCCCTTGACTTGTCCTCCAATGCGGGGGAATCGCTTCAAACCACTCTCACGTTTTTGAGTCATGGCAAGAGTGACCTCAATGTATATACACCTTCCAAAGGAGCTTTCCTTCCAGCCTGGGAGGAGGGTGGGGGCCTGGCCCCTGCTGGGAAAGCTGGTGCGTGGGGGCAGGGTGCATTCCCAGGTTGGTCCCAACAGTCTGTACACTCTTTGGAAATCCAGGTCAGGGATTTTCTTGCTGCTTGGCCTTCCTGTTTCAATCTTGGGTCAGCCGTCAGAATAGCGCTGGCCCTTTGTTCGAGGCCATCTCAGAGAAAAGCTTACTCTTAAGTTAGGCGTATGTGGCAGGCTCCTTCTTCAGACCCACTGGGAACTTTACAATAAGCAGCGTGTTCACGGACCAAAGCGGCATGCTCACAGATCACTACACCTTGGAGGGAACATTACTCTGAACCCTAGCCCTAACCTCCAGTATATCTACCACACCTCCCAGCTTGGTGTCATCCACATGCAATCCATCTCATTTTCCAGATTGTTAATGAAGATATTGAACAAAACTAGCCAAAGGACCAATCCATGGCTTGAAACTGGCTGCCAGCTAGACATTGAGCCATTGATTACTACGCGTTGAGCCTGTCACTCCAGCCTTTCTATCCACCTTACAGTCCACTCATCCGGCCCATACTTCCTGAGCTTGCTTGCAAGAATGCTGTGGGAAACCATATCAAAAGCCTTGCTAAAATCAAGGTATATCACATCCACTACTTTCCCTGCATCCACAGAGCCAGTTATCTCATTACAGAAGGCAATCAGGTTGATCAGACATGACCTTGGTGAATCCCTGCTGACTGTTCCTGATCACCTTCTCCTCAAGTGCTTAGAAATGGATTCCTTGAGGACCTGCTCCATGATTTTTTCTGGGGACTGACGTGAAGCTGACTGGTCTGTAGTTCCTTGGATCTCCACCCCTTTCTTCAAGATGGGCACTATATTTGCCCTTTTCCAATTGTCTGGGACCTCCCCCAATCACCATGAGTTTTTAAAGATAATGGCCAGTGGCTCTGCAATCTGCAGTCACATCAACCAGCATACTCAGACTGACCTTCCTCTTGTTGCTAACATACTTGCAGAATCTCTTTTTGTTACCCTTTGACTCCCTTGCTAGCTGCAACTCCAGTTGCACTTTGGCCTTCCTGACTTCATCCCTGCCTGCCCAGGTTTCCATCTGCATGGCATAGCTGCTACGGGAGCTGGGCTGGAGCCATGACTGGTACCCCAGGCTAGAATGGGGACAGAGCCTGCCAGCATGGAGTGAGGATAAGGCAGGGTGGGAAGCAGGGACCAGAGGCTGGCAGGGAGGCAGGTACAATCAGAGGGTAAGCTTCTTGACCTTCCCACACTGCCTTCCCTCCCCCCATCCCCCCAGCAGCACTGGGGGTGTAGGGGATGAATATTTCATAGTTTCTAGGGTCGGAAGGGACCTGAGCAGATCATCTAGTCCGACCCCCTGCCATGGCAGGAAGAGCACTGGGGTCAAATGACCCCAATAAGGTGGTCATCCAACCTCCTCTTAAAAACCCCCAGGGTGGGAGCCTGCACCACC